CGCAGGCAGCGCGTTTGCCTTGAGGAGAAATTTTCTTCTTGGAGCGACACGACTGCTGGCGTTCCGCAAGGCGGCGTCTTATCTCCTCTTCTTTTCGCTGTTTTAATCAACTCCGTCTCTAATAATATTTCTTCTTCCTACCACCTATATGCAGATGACCTCCAAATCTATCGCCAAGCATCACTTCGTCAACTTGGAGATGCGGTACGAGCCACTAATAGCGATCTACATACTATATCAGAGTGGAGCAAATCCTTTGGATTGCAACTGAATCCCTCTAAAACTACTAGCATAATAGTAGGTAGTTCTAGGATGATAGATAGAGTAGAATGCCAGTCTTTACCCAATATCCAGCTGGCTGGTGAAATTGTCCCTTTTAGCGCATCGGTAAAAAACCTGGGGTTGACTTTCGATAATTGTTTGAGCTGGGGTCCACAGATGCAAGTGGTCAGCCGCAAATTGTTTGCTTCAGCAGCTTCGCTTAGAAGACTACGTAATTTCCTACCCATCACTACTAAAATTACACTAGCACAGTCGTTGTTGCTTCCCATTCTTGATTATGCTGACGTCTGCTATCTTGATCTTACCGAGGACCAGCTAAATAAGCTTGAGCGACTTCAAAACTTTTGCATCCGCTTCATATTTGGCTTGCGCAAATATGATCACGTTTCTCAATTTCGTTCGCAACTCAAGTGGCTACCTATTCGTCTTCGCCGGAATGCTCATATTCTTGCTCTCCTTTACAATATATTGTTTAATCCTAAGACCCCGCGCTATCTCCAGGAATGTTTTAATTTCCTTCACACTTCTAACACGTTATCCCTTAGGTCATCAGAAAATCTTACTCTCATGACTCCTGTACATGCTACAACATTTTATAACCGTTCGTTTGCAGTGCGTGCCGTACATTTGTGGAATTCTCTCCCAGTTACCATACGACGTGCAGAATCTATCCACGCTTTTAAAAACCTCGTAAAGTCCCATTATTTGTCCTTATAACTATTGATGTTAATCTTATTTGTGACTACTACCAACTGAACTAGATTTGTTTATTTATGTGTATGTATGTATTTATTTAATATATTTAATATATATTTATATTTATGTATGTATATAATTGTATATATTATCACCTATATCACTCAAGTGATTTACACCGCCGTCTCTCCCACTTCCTTCTAGTCCTCTCCATCCAAAGGTTGTCTGGAAGAGATCGCTCTAAGCGATAAGGCCGCCCATTGTTACACTAGTTTTAATTGGTTATGTACTAAATTTAATGTTATATGTGGTGTACAATAAAGTGTTTTGTATTGTATTGTATTGTAAAAGCTATAAATTAAAATACCCTATACTAACCACACTTGAGAAACTTCCTTTTTCACATTTTTGGTTCATATTTCTCTACTCTAATTAGTGTACTTGCAACTTTTTGTGACGCTTTGCCGCAGTAAAAAATATACTACTTGTGTGTAGTAAAATTAATGATCGCGTGGAATTAATATGCGCCAACGATTACCTAGTAACTGTTGTTACAGTGACTTACATTATTGACATGCATAATATTTTTTTTGTATCTGTCAGTAAATAAGGTTCCAGGGTTCCACGGGCTAGGCAATGGGATTTTTTTAACTCTTTTTTAAGAAAGGTTTTCATTATTGAATTTTACGTAGTGTTGTTGAGAAAATATTTATATTTTGGGCATTAAGTTCTCATCCTTACCAAAGGAGACTTACATAGCAAAGAAAAGGTGGAAGAGTATTCAAGAGAATAAAGGAAGTTAAGATAGAGAGAAAGAAGATAGGGGTTAACACAAAAAGCGTGAATGCTTTACCGGTTGAGCAATGGGGTTAGAGAAGGCAACACCCAAGTGATACTCTGGAATCGCAACTCGCAAGGTCGACTGACTATATGCTACGGTGATCGTATATCGGCGGTTATATGTTTGTGTTCCATCCTTTTAAAAACCACCAAAAACCATGCTTTTTATAGCAAATCTATTTTTCTCCATTCGCAATGAATAGAGACGACCCAGACATGGTTACAGTTTACAATTAACAGCATCTTTATTAAAACAACAATAGGAATGTTCAGATATGCATGTGAGGACAATATAAAATACAATTAGAAGTGTAACCACTTTTGCCTTGACTGCATTAATCTAAATTGTCTATTCGTCCCTATGACAAAGCACCCAAACCAATTCCATCCCACATCAAACCTCAAATAACAAGTATGTATTTAATAAATTTAAGCTTACCTACAGGGCATTTCCAATTTACATTTACCTGTAATCTGTAATGAAAATTGCTTTGGATTTAAACTTATATTTTCAGGGTTCATGTATCTTTCTATATTCTACCATAACTTCTAAACACCTGAGCCGATTTATTATTAGAATAGAACGCAATGTTAGTTTTTTTATGCATGCCTATTATGACCAAAAGTTATTTTATTAACAGCAGTCGTTAATTTTTTTAATTATTCTCACTTGATTCACACAATTAATAAAGTAGATTCTTACTAATATTGAGATGAAATAAACTGTACATTCCATTCATTAAACTCTTGCGTGACTGCAAACAATAAACACTGTGGATTCATTCATTCCAGTTCCTAGATGTACTAACGAGTTTATTTATATTAACCAACTAAACTCCCGCCACCTGCTTGAGGCTGTTAAAAATAGGTAAACTCATTAGCCTAAATTTCCCCTCGTTGCACAGGTTGGCCATTAAATAAATTACACTTACTGTACGGAGCATCAACTATAAATTATAAAGCACTGAGAGCTTTTTGCTTCCCATTAAAGATCACTTATTTCCATGTATGTAGGCATGTACATTTTGTAAGAAAGTAAATTCTTGCATATTGCATGTTTGTAATTCAAACGTAGGTATAGGTGGACCGCTTAACTGAGTCTGGGTCCGTGAGAGGTGCGGACGGCGGGAACTTGTAATTTTGACAAGAATGTGCCTGCCGCCGCCCGCACCTCTCACGGCCCCTGTTCTCGTCCTCCCCTGCAGGCGAGGACTTAGTTCAGCAGTTTACCTTATATTAGTAATTATTCATTGGATTTAAAGTAAACCAAAAATTAAATCTTGTATCTATATAAATATGATACCCATTATTATTATTATTTACGTATATTAACAGTATAAGGAAAGCATGTAATTTTGTCATGGTACAGTCGTTTTTTTCTTTACAAGCATCAGAGCGCCTCGAAGCACGAATTTTTGACAGCTCCGTAACGTATCGTCATCGTCAAATTTAGTTTGTCCTTACCGATAGTTGCTTAGTTTTCATACAAACTATCTGAGGCTGCTAAGGCTACTGCTAGGGGTGAGAATGAAGCATTAAAAGAGAGAGAGAATGGATAGTGTAGGGTTCACAGCAACGATATTAAATAACCCTAGATACACCACATGCGCTCAAAATGTGTCCCAATCAAGAAGTGCTTGAACTCCACTCAAGCACTTCTTGGTTCACAGAGTAACGCGCGGACCGTTGAAAAGTCAAGATGCCACAGAGCTCCGTAACAAAATGCTAAAAAAATACTTATAGTACGTGAAGTGACGTTTTTTCGACAGCTTGTTGTCCTCCTTATCGGGTGCTGTTTTTAATCGATTTTGAATTTTACTCGAAATTGAATTTCCTCGCTGATTTGTAATTGCTTGTTAATTTAATCAATGTTTGTTAATTTTACGCATTGAAACCAGATTTTATTCTAATACTTCTATAAACTGATTAAATAGAAAATATTTGTGATATTCAAATGCATGATCGGTTATATAGCTGTCTCTTTTCCTCGCGGTTCGTACCTGCTATATTGCTAACAGCGCATTCAGAATTGCGCGTAGAGTCAAAGAAATAAGGTCTATATTCTTCCGCATATAGCAATGTCGTAAAATTTTACGAGCTTGCATTTCGAACGGTCATAACTCTTTGACGCATGCGTTTTAATTATGATTTTATACAGTATGCATTAAAGGTGACTTTCAGTGTTTAAATAATGCCTTATATTGTTTTTGACAACGCGATCATCTTACGGAGCTCCGTGGATCGCCCAATGTACCTTTTGGACAGGTTTCGGCCACGATTTTGTGCGTTGTTGTATCTAGGGTATGTAAAATCGTTGGTTTACAGACCTAGATTTATGTAGACGACGCATGTGCTTCAAATTGTATGAAAACCGAGCGTGTCATATTTTGGGTACTCAAAGGAACAAATTAAGCCGTGCAAAATCATAAATCACGGCCACGCTTTTCAAGTCTATGGTCTTATAGCCTTTTTTTTCGATGACGGGGAGAAAACATGTATTATGCCAACGCCACGTTCGTTTGCTGTTAACAAACCCTCGCGACGCCGGTAATTGTGTGGTGCATTCGGCAAGCGGCGAGCCGCCCGAGGGCCGCTAGTCGGTGCGGGTATACTTTGACGTGCACTCACGCAAGCGTAGCATACGTCAAACCACCCCGCCTCCGAACAGCAGCTCGGTCCGCACCCGCTTTAGCCGATTCTGGGCTTCACCGTTTACAGCGTCACCTGGCTACTCTCACGGACCGCAGTCCGAGCGGCTAGCCAGCCGACCAGCTCCCGTACCTACCAGGTAAACCAACTCCCCGACCTACCCCTCACCCTCCAGGCGTAACTGTGGGGTCCAGTTATGAGTCGCCGCTTGTTACGCCTGGGATTCCTACTCCCTCGCGATGGTGCCGCGGAGCACCCCCTCCCTGGATGGTCTTATAGCCTAATATGGCACAATTAGATTTAAAATCGGCTGACTTACGGTATCGAGAAGGGTGCCGCGCAAGCAAATAAAATAGCGTTGAAGGAAAACCTTTGCTCTCCCTTCCCTTTTGACATGTTTTTGTCACGCGAAGTACTTGCGTTATCTATTTCAATCTATGTCTATGGGTTGGTCCCTTTTGTGCGTTATTCACGGCTGAAGGCCAGAAAAACAAATGTGACGTTAATTTTAAGAAATTGGAATGTGCAAGCAGTGGGCGGGGGTCGCAAGTCGTCAGAGGCGGAGGAGGGCGTACGGCGCAGCGGTTCCCGCGCCTCCAGCGTGTCGGACGAGGGCGGGTTCAACGAGCCCTCGCCGGAGGTGGTGGCGCGGCTGCGGCCGGCCGACTACCGCGAGCCGCCGCCCCCGCCGCTCACGCGTGACCATCGCGACGCCGAGCGGGCGCGCTCCGACCCCGACACACTGTCCGTCTTGCAGCAGGTAAACTATAAACCTCGGAAAACTTCTTGAAAATCGACCATATACAAGAAAGCCTGGGCAGTAGCTGTTTTACATACAAAAACTTCTATTGCGCAAGTTTAGTTGTCTGTGGATTTTTTCAAGGTTTAGTTGCAGTCAAGTTAAAACTTGTCGAACAAATATAGGGGTGCAATACTTTGTTTGCAGAAGTGGATATACCTACATAGTTTCAAAAATAAAATATAAATTAAGGGGAGAATATAGTTAAAATATAGCAAAAAGATATAATATAGCATTTATATGTATTAAACTCGCATAGTGTAGTTATTTATTTTTATTTTGATGTAGTGATAAAATATATGTTAAATATCACCGATTTGTTTTTTAAAATTGATTAATTACTTTTTATGTTTGATAAAAGTAAAGTTAAACATGAGGATTGTAACAGTGTTAAGCTTACTCTGCGCACAGAATTTACAGCTGACGCACATCGATATTAGTTATGAAAAAGTAGTAGCCAAAATGCTATTCCTCTTATGGATCGCAGGACTCGGGCGTGGTAGTAAGCGAAGCCAGCCAAGGCTCCATCGAGGTGCTCGACAAGTCGACCACCAGCCAATGGAGCGTATCGGAGGCGGAGAACGCGTCGGGCGAGGTGCGCGCACCCGACGCGGACACGCGCTGGGACGACCCCGATGGGAAGCAGCCCGACAGCATGACCCCCGACGAGGCGGAGATATTGCTCAGCTCGAGGTACGCGATAGGGTTTGTCCATTAATCGTGTGAGGCTCGAGAGGGAGGGAGGGGGGAGGGGGGCGTTCGAAAAATATCACGAAGTATCACAAAGAGAGGGGGGCATATTATAAGATATCACATGCATTTTTTATTCGTCAAACAAGTGGCGCGAAGCCTAAGGTCACTATTGCTAAGCGATTAACTAATTTAAAGATAGGTAATATAGTATTCTGAAATTTTCTGCATTGCTAGGCAAAATTTAAAGAAAATGTTCTGAAATTTTTAATTTAATGAATATTGAAAAAAAATACATGTGATGTAGCCATATCACCCCTTGTGCACTTGAGTTAAAGTTGTATTTCACAGTTCTGAGCTCGAAGTACGCTTTTTTTTCCGTAGTGTAGTGAAATTAATACTATCTCAGCGGAAAGACAGTTATAATTTTGTAATAATTTGTATCTAATAAATTATTAAAACATCATAACAATCCGAATTACTACTTATGTTTTATAGAAATATGTTGCATGACTGTTACTCACTTTCTCTCCTTTATACATATGTCTTGTGTTTTTATATGTTTACCACTATATTGTGAGCTTCATATTTATGAATGTTATTTTTTTATGATTTTTTTGCATGCCGCCTGTCCGCACAACGCTTATTGCCTGATCACATTTGCAGTATTCTGGAGAAAAAACTTAGGTAAGATGGCTGGTGTTGTATGATTATAACGTAAATTACATTTTATTATGAAGTGTTAATATAATTTTGTATTACAACTTCATAAGTAGTTTTAGTTTTTCTTTTTTTCAATTTCCATCTAATAAGAATAAAATTTAACTTAATACAGTTGATATACACAATCACTCAGTTTAAGTAGTATAAAATACTTTACCAATTCAAAAGAATATTTATAAAAAGTATGTTTTTGGCACTGACACCTTTATTTTGTATGTTTATAAATTATCACATCACAAATATATAAACTATGATTTTTAACTATTTATCACAAAATTTAACAGCATCACTGTAGTTAGTCACTAGTTTAATAATTCACTACTTTATTAAATGGTCACTTTCCTATTTGCCTTAACGCGCTGTTATATAATTTAAATTCAGCTTAGAAACTTATGATAGCCTCAGTAGTTTGGTTGCAATTTCTTGTAGTCGAAATTAAGTCCAATCCATAAAAATAAGCCTGAAATTTAAGGAAAAACTTACTTTGGTCACTCTCTTAATAATATTTATATAAGCGTAAAGGATGTCTCCCGCTAGACCGTGCCGGGCCCAAACCGAACGTCAGCCATAAACATTTCACTCGGTTACTGCTCAGTATAGCGTCAGTCCATAAAAAATGTATGTAATACGGTACGGTGTAGCGTTAGTCTACCTTATTATTAAAACCTAGTCTTCGAAATGTTACCATAAAGATATAGCCTGTGTTATTTTTCTCTGAAGTTTCGCAGTTTGAAATTATAAGTATTAATGCAAGGGGATAAAGTGTTGTTTCGCGTGGCAGACAAGAAGCTCTGCTGTCCGATGAGCAAGCGCAAGAGATCGTGGCCATGCTGTCGCCGCACACGTTGCCGCACGACAACGGCGTCTCGCTCAACGACAGCTACCAGTCCGTACTCTCATACGAGAGGTATGTGGCAATCACAATAAAAAAAATAGTTAGGATTTGATCTAGTAAAAATCTATACAGAGACCCAAGCACGAATTTTGACAGCCCCGTTATCGTATCGTCAAAGTTTCTATGAAAACTAAGCAGCGCCCCTACCGGAAGTAAGAACAAACTGCCTCTTTCCATACAATTTTACAATGACGATACGATTACGGAGCTGTCAAAATTCGTGCTTGGGCCTCGGGGATACATAGAACGGAGGAAAAAAGACACGGAGCTGAGAACCAACCAATCTCTTGAGTGTTGCTATGAAGTCATAATATTTTTAAATGAGCTGTTGGAAAATAATGTAGTAGCTGGTGTGTGATTTTTTGCAAAAAACGTGAAAGGGCTCTTAAGATATGTTTATATCTTAAGAGTTTACCCCCTTAGAAATGATTTTGACTATTTCCAATAGAAGTAAACAGTAGATTTATTCTTCCTTTTGTAAATGAATGTAGAATATTTGCAAATACTATTTTCCTTTTTTTGTACTGATCGTTCTACTGCAGCTAGTTTACGGAAAAAACGATAATATCCACAAATTCAAACGCCTCAATCTCTCAATAATGTTCAATAAATTAGATCAAATTAATTACTACGACATCAGAATTATGTTTTTGTTGTAAGGGGTCATCCATAAATTACGTCACACGAATTTCATGTCTTTTTGCCCCTCCCCCCGTCCTTGTCACAGCTGGTCACATTTGTAAGACTCCCTAGTGTGAAGTCACATATTTTGCAAATTTACATTTAGAAATCATTGAATGAAAACAGCGGTTCTGTAATCAGTTTTATTTCCATTTAAATTGTTTTTTCATTATTATTATAATCAAATCAAACAATTAACAAAACAAAAAAATTACCGAACAAAAAGTGATTGACTATGTTAATTAAAGAAATTAACAAAACATAAAATATTAATAGCATTATAATTAAATTAAAGATACAAACTTAATAATCTTGAGTCCATGGACATTGATACCACTCCTTTAAGTTATTTATAACTGGCATAGCACCACTTTGTTCTCGTTTGGGTTGTTAATGCTTTCGTAAAGTAATAGTTTCAACACTTAGATTTTAATATATTTTGAAATGTGACGTCACGAAATTTAGGACCCCTTCCACCCCTTGTCACACGATGTCACATTTCGTCGACCCCCTCCCTGCCCCTTAAAGTGTGACGTAATTTATGGATGGCCCCTAACATAATGTATTAGAATTTTGATTTTCCATCTCATTAATTATTAAAAAAAAAACATCTAAACTCCGTGGGTTTTTCCCTAAAAATAATGCAGGTTTACCTCGTATTTTACTTTTTAGATTAAATAGAATTACTATCAAAAATATATATAATAAAACTAATCTACCATCATTGAACTACTGAAATATGAACATATTTTTATAATTAGTTCATTAATAATCATTTTATAAGACTCGAAACATCACCCGTAAAATGCAATATATACTAGTGCAAATCTACCTACGTGCAGATCAGTACGGCAGCGGCGCAATTTTGTAAAAGGGCTCTTAACATATTCAGCATTTCATCACTTGCGTGCGCAACAGTGACTAACACCATTATGCATCTCAATTTCGTTTACTGCGCCGCCACTTCTTAGACTCAGTGTATATTAAAATTCTTTCTTAACTAGCCATTCGCCCTTAAACAGGGTTAATTTTAAAACACCAACAACTTCTTAGGGGTGATTCTACCCATCAACACGAACAACTTTATTATGGGACCAACTCTGAAATCACGAAAAAAAATCAGCTGTTTCATACATTTCGCTCGATTAGCTGATGCACTTTTGTATGAAACAGCAGATTTTTTTTTCGCAATTTCAGCGTTGGTCCCATAATAAAAGTTGTTCCTGTTGATGGATAGAGTCACCCACTAAGAGGTTGTTGGTGTTTTAAAATTAATATAGAATTTTATTATAATTCTTTTGTATCACAGTATGCAGTCAGTGGACGAGAGCTACGAGTTCGTTTCGCTGGAGGCGGACGCGGGTATGGCCAGCGGCGACCGGAAGCAACCTCAAGCGGGGGGTGGGGAAGGCATTCCCGTGGAAGGGGCGGGAGAGGGAGGGGAGGCGGCAAGGGTGGCCGATGCTACCGCACAAGGGGAAGGAGAAGCGGAGGGGGAGGGCGGTGTGTTCGCGCAATACCCGCCGCAGCCGCTGCGCGAGCTCGGCGAGGAGAACGGCATACACTACTTCGAGGACGGACACTTCTATACAGAGGTCAGTGGTTATATAAATAAAAGGCGCGGATAGGGGGAGGGTGGAATGTTCATCAATACCCGTCGCAGCCGCTGCACGAGCTCGGCGAGGAGAACGGTATACACTACTTCGAGGACGGACACTTCTATACACAGGTCAGTGGCTATATAAATAAAAGGCGCGGATAGGGGGAGGGTGGAATGTTCGTACAATATCCGCCGCAGCCGCTGCGCGAGCTCGGCGAGGAGAACTGCATACACTACTTCGAGGACGTATACTTATATACAGAAGTCAGTGGCTATATAAATAAAAGGCGCGGATAGGGGGAGGGTGGAATGTTCAACAATACCCGTCGCAGCCGCTGCACGAGCTCGGCAAGGAGAACGGTATACACTACTTCGAGGACAGACACTTCTATGCAGAGGTCAGTGGCTATATAAATAAAGGCGCGGATAGGGGGAGGGTGGAATGTTCAACAATACCCGTCGCAGCCGCTGCACGAGCTCGGCGAGGAGAACGGTATACACTACTTCGAGGACAGACACTTCTATGCAGAGGTCAGTGGCTATATAAATAAAGGCGCGGATAGGGGGAGGGTGGAATGTTCAACAATACCCGTCACAGCCGCTGCACGAGCTCGGCGAGGAGAACGGTATACACTACTTCGAGGACAGACACTTCTATGCAGAGGTCAGTGGCTATATAAATAAAGGCGCGGATAGGGCGAGGGTGGAATGTTCGTACAATACCCGCCGCTGCCGCTGCGCGAGCTCGATGAGGAGAACGGCATACACTACTTCGAGGACGGACACTTCTATGCAGAGGTCAGTGGCTATATAAATAAAGGCGTGGATAGGGGGAGGGTGGAATGTTCTTACAATACCCGCCGCAGCCGCTGCGGGAGCTCGATGAGGAGAACGGCATACACTACTTCGAGGACGGACACTTCTATGCAGAGGTCAGTGGCTATTTAAATAAAAGGCTAAAAGGTTTTGAATGTAGGAGAAATAATTGCGAGCGTACGTTGTCAGCAATGAATATTTTTATTGAAAACTAATACGTGATTTATCGTTTTGGTAATATTCATCGAATTTTGGCTGAAATATAGGTGTAAATAAGAATTTTGATATTTACGGACGAAAAGAAAGTCCTCCTGTAGATTTAATCCTTGAATCCTAACTTTGTAAGTAATTACAGCATAAGAAGGCATATTTTAAGCGTGTATCACAATACTCTCTCATCAAGGGTGCGCGAGCAACTAAACGAAGCGATCGTAAGTAAAGGTAAAGTTATGAGCATTTGCTCATAACTGTGGCGTGCCTGCCCTGCCCACAAGGCCCTTCTAACCTCTTTCTGTGTTCTGTGTTCGTAATGCTAATCTGAGAATGTTTCGTGTCGCCTCACGCATACTTTTTGTATGATTCATTAACATCTTGTGTTTATTTAATTAAAGGTCGCCGGCCTCCCCCCTATAGAAGAAGACGAAGACGACGACTATTACCCTCCAGTATTTGTGAAGAAGAGCAGTAAAGTTAAATTCAGGTATGCATTTATCATTAAAACAACGCTTTTAAAATAATTACAGCCGTACTCAGAAACGTCAAATTAATCACAGTCACTCCTTGTCTTCCATTCCATTGTTATTGCAAAGAAAGTAACAGCGTTCAATTTTAATCACATATCAAAGTTAATTAATTTCTGGGGACTAACAACAAACACTTACACTTAATGTAAGTAATTAATTCTTTGTGTGCGTCCACTTTGCTAGATGATCTTTCTTTCTTTCCTTTTTTTTTATTTTTTAACCCAAAAATCTCGTTAGACCATACATCACACAAAAAAGAAATTGTTTTTCTAATAATTGAAATTATCTTCGTCATAAACATTCAATGACATTCGGTACGAGAGGTCGCGGTTTATCTACGCCGGTTTTCAAGGTGTCGCCTACACAGAGGTCTCGGGTTCGAATCCCGGTGTGGCAAATATTATGTGTGTGATGAAAACGAGCATTTGTACCCAAGTCATGGATGTTATAAATATATGGTATTCTATCCGTTATCCTAGTATCCCATTACACAAGCATTACAATACTTACTTTGGGGCTAGGCTAATTGAGGCTGTCAGCGCAAAAGTGGCCTCAATTATTCATATTTTGATTTATCTTTTACAATTAAATAAAAATGTGTTAAAATTGAATTCAAAATCGTCATTCAATTCAGGCGTCAATAGATGACATCGCAAAAGTTATATTTGCATTGTTTTTTTTCTCTCAACGTATACTTCATAAGTAGCCTAAGCCGCTTAACCAGAATATGAATAATTGAGGGTTAGGCCACTTTTACGCTGACCGCCTCAATTGGTGTGTGCGTGTGTGTGCGTGTGTTAGAAATATTTATTTATTATTGTAGCTGTGATCCGATGCGAGTGTTCTCCACGCATTCGGTCCGCGAATACGACCGTCGCAACGAAGATGTGGATCCTGTGGCAGCTTCCGCTGAATACGAGCTCGAGAAGAGAGTCGAGAAAATGCACGTGTTCCCCGTAGATCTAGTTAAAGGCGCCGACGGATTGGGACTGTCTATTATAGGTACGTGTTACAGCTGTGATTGTAATACATTTGGGGCCCAAGTGCGAAGTTTTGAAAGCTTTGTAACGTTAATTAGCTACCGAGCGGTTGATTGTCTATGATCAAAAAGTCTGTGGGTTGTCGCAAGCGCCCGTTATCACGCTCTTCGCAGTACACTGCGTTGCATCGTTAAACATTGAATTATTGATGTATAACATCTTTCCTCTCGCTTTCGTACAATTTTTGGGAGTGATTACATGAAGTGGGACGGAAGTGTGTAACAGGAAGTTTGGGAAGCGCGTGCTATTTGATTTGATTTTTAGAACATAATGTTCAAATGACTTATTCCTCTTGTAGTAGGTTTTATTTCTTTTTTTACTAATATAAGCTGAGGTTTCAAATGTTACACATCATACGCGACTACTGTAAGGCACGCTCGTTTTTATTATTCTGTAGTAATTGTTAAATATTGCAAAAAAGTTTTATTAAAAATTTAAATACTACGTTATAATGTGCTTTGGTTATTATTAAATACTGTAAATAATAAAAGGTCGCATTAGGTCAGGCAGCGTGGTAGACTGTGGCCTTAACTCCTTCATACGAAGGAAAATCTTTATTCCAGCAGTGGGATGTTATGAACTTAGGATGATGATGAAGGTTTATTACTTTAAGGTAACAATATAGTCCCGACTTCCATATTATCGTACTGATCATAAACAATTGAGTTTTTCAGTTTATCATTAATTTTAATTTACATTACAAATCTTCATCTTAAGCTAGCTTCTCACGGCGCGAGATATCACAAGTCGCACCGCGCTGAGTCGTTCGTCGAGTTGTACGAGCGAGCATGCGTCAACGAAAACTACAGTCCGAGGCACGCAGCGCATCATGTCGCAAGAAGAAGAAGTGAAGGAAGGCCAATCTTCCTCCGAGCTGGGTGATGGTAGCTCGGGGGCCGCGGCCCGATTTATGTTGGTCGGGCATTGTATATATTAAGTGTTTGCCTCCGAATTTATCCTGCACGATGTAGGCTTCTGCGACTCTGTAACAACTCAATAATCGAGAGTTCGCCGACGCGTCGCGACGGGATGAAGCAGGCTATTATCGTTACAGCGATAATAGGTATAAATTTTTTTGTAGGGAGTGATTAATCTGTTATGTAGTAACAATAACGTAGTCTGTAGTATGGCCGTTAAAATAAAATTCTCTATATAGTATGTGTATTTATCGTGATCAGGTATGGGAGTCGGTGCGGACGCGGGCTTGGAGAAATTAGGCATTTTCGTAAAGACCATCACAGAGAGCGGAGCGGCAGCGCGCGACGGCCGCATACAAGTCAACGACCAAATCATCGAAGTCGACGGCAAGAGCTTGGTGAGTTGTTTTACTACCACTGCACCGCCCCCGCTTTCAAAATGTAGCTTAAGGTGCCCGCGGGGAAAGTAAGCAATTTTGTGAAGACTATCACAAAAAGAGGGGCGGCGGCGCGCAACGATCGCAAACAAGTCAACGACTAAATCATCGTGGTCGACGGCAAGAGCTTGGTGAGTTGTTTTACTACCACTGACCCGCCCCCGCTTTATATAGCTTACTAGCGGGTGCCTGCGGGGAAACTAAGCAATTTCGTGAAGACTATTACAGAGAGCCGGGCGACGGACACATACAAGTCAATGGCCAAATCATCGAGGTCGATGGAAAGAGCTTGGTTCGTTGTTATACTACCACTGACCCGCCCCCGCTTTCAAAATAACTAGCGGATGCACGCGAATCTAAACAGTAGTTCCTGAGATTAGCGCGTTTAACCAACCAAACAAATGAACTAATCTACCTTTACTTCTCCAATAGATCTTTCTACCACACCTACTTAAAGCGGGTAATAGCAGGTGTTGCGGTGAATGGTCACCGATCTCTCACAATTTTAGTTATAAGTTTTATAAACCTAAACGTTACCTATGAAGTACATTCATAATACTGATGAGGGATATAATATTATTTGTATTCTACAAGCAAACTTAACTTCTTTATAAGACGTGTAGGTATCTACCGTGAAAAGTATTGAAACTGATGGTGAAAATCACGTATATCTGAAAAAGACAGACGAGGCAGTTGACTGTGTTATATTAATATGTTAAGTATTTTGGCTTTTTAGGCTATTAAGTATTTTGTTTCTCGTTAATAGGTTGGCGTAACGCAAGCGTACGCAGCTTCAGTATTACGTAATACGTCGGGTCCGGTGAAGTTCCTCATCGGTCGAGAGAAGGACCCGGAAAATAGCGAAGTCGCACATCTTATAAGGCAGTCGCTAGCGGCGGACAAGGAGAGAGAAGAACGGTACGTGAAAAATAATAATAAAACATTCATTATAAGCATAATATTCATTGTTTTATGGAGTAGCTTATATGCTCATAGCTGATGCCGGCACTTCGCTTGGCTATACGTGTGTGGCGGTGACATATACATGCCCCATATATAACTAACATGGAGGAATTAATCACTCGCCTCCGCAAGAGATCTCTCTGCGATCACAATAGTACGGAAGTGTCAGCTTACCTGTCCCCCAAAAAACCTCACTCAACCAGACCTAGAGGCCCTGTTTGCTATGGACGACGCCGTCATTATTGGCGACCTCAATTGCAAACACGTGCAGTGGAGTTGTCACACAACCAACCGTAACGGCAGGTTACTTTCCAACTTCTCTGACACTATGGTGTTTGATACAATTGGGCCCTCCCTCTGACCTCCCATCCTCAAGGACAGTGACGAACTGGAGAAGGATCGAGAAACTACTCGAACCCTCCGCCAGCTCACCACTCGACTCCACCCCCGACCACATAACCTCCACTCAGGACACCCTCTCTGCGATCCCTCTCGAGCCATCTCACTTCCGCAATAAGCGAGGCGTCCCGACAGGTTCCAGCGATGCCAGACCATCGCTGCTACCTACCGGACGACGCTAGAGAGCTGTTAAGGGCAAAGAACGCTGCTACTAGGGCATTCGACACCTACCCCACGGACGACAACCGCTCCCGATTGCGTGCCTTGCAGCGTGCTGTTAAGGCACGCATGAAGGAAATGCGGGAGTCTAAAGTGGGCCGAACTACTAGAAAAGATCTCGCCATCACACCAAGCTTATTGGAAGCTGGCGAGATCTTTCAAGTCAGAGGTCGAATTCTCTATGCCTCCCCTGACCAAACCTGACCGATCGATCGCGTTTAACGGCGACAAAAAGGCCGACAGCCTAGAGGCGCAGTGCTCGCCTAGCACTCTCCCAATCCCTCTCGAAAACGTCCAGTTAGTCGACTCAGAAGTCGAAAAGTTCTCCTCCGTACTGCCCACCGCCACCCTTGAGCCGGTCACCGTAGATAACGTGCATTCGTTAATCCCTAAATTGCGCCCGCGTAGCGCCCCCGGGTCAGATGGAATCTCTAGTAAAGTCCTTAAGATCCTACCCGTCCAACTCCTTTGCCTTATCACCGTTATCTTTAACTCGGCTATGACAAACGCGATATTTCCCGCAGAGTGGAAAGAGGCCGTCGTTATCGGTATCCGGAAACCCGGTAAGGACGGCGCTTGACCCTCTGGCTACCGCCCTATAAGTCTCCTCAAAACGCTGGGGAAACTTTACGAACGCGCCCTTGCTAGTCGCCTTACATTATGAACGAACAGTTTGGTTTCCGTCTCAAACACTCGTGTGTCCACCAGGTGCATCGCCTAACAGAGCACATCCTCCACTACCGCGATCTATTTCGAGCCTCCGCGATTCCCACGGGTGCGCTTTTCTTCGACGTGGCGAAAGTCATTTGACAAAGTCTGACACAATAGCTTAATTTATAAGCTATACTAACTCGGGGTGCCGGACAGACTCGTGCTCATCATACGGGACTTTTTGTCGAATCGCTCGTTTCGCTATCGCGTCGAGGGAACGCTCTCCTCGCCTCGCCCTATACGCGCCGGCGTGCCTCAGGGCTCGCCGCTCTCGCCTTTCCTCTACTCGGTCTTTACGAACGACATGCCCATGACTCCTAAAGTCGATCTCCCGCTTTTCGCCGCCGACACCGCCCTCTATACCTCCGATGGACATCTCGCAACAGTCTGTAATAGACTTCAATCAGCCGCTACCAATCTTGGTGATTGGTTCCGTAGATTGCGTATCGAGGTTAATCCGGAGAAAAGCGTCGCGATCCCATTAGCAGGACACCGCCTCCTACGCGTTCTCTACCAAGCATCCGATTATTTGACCGGGTCATCCCCTGGGAGGACCAGGTCAATTACTTGGGAGTTACGTTAGATAACCGATTAACGATTGCACCTCATCCAAGATAGCTCGCGATTGCCTCATAGGGAAGCGTAGTAAGATGTAGTTGACAATTTACAAAACTTGCATATCATGACCTACGCGAGTGTTTGCTTCACCCACGTACCTTCGTCGCGTCTTAAACCACAAGAAACGCTGCAAAATCGTGTGTTGCGCGGTGCCACGGGTTGCCCGTGATACGTGCGCAACATCGATTTGCATCGCGATCTCAAAGTAGACTCCATTGCGAAGTATATGAAGGACGCCTCGAGGCGTAACTTCGATAAAGCCGCGCATTGTCCGAAGCCCTTAGTGGTAAAAGCGATTAGTTATCATACGTCCGCTCTCCCGTCCTCCAATCGTAGGTCCCTCCGATTCCGTCGGCCTATGCACGTCTTAGACTACCCCGTCGACGAAATCACCCACGCCAACGCGCCATCGATTCCTCCCACACAGGCCACAAACACCAACACTACACAGCTAGCAAACGTGCACATTAGCTTAGCATTTGGCAGACACCGCACCCGTAGGATAAGAGTGCGAAGACCCGGTCTACACACGACACGCTATAGCAGGTACAGGTATAGCGGGTACCTGGGCGTTTTTCCCCGTCCCCCACGACAACGGCTAACTAGAGCCGAGGTCCGAGTCTCAGAGACGCCCTCTAGTTGAGCCGACCCCCTCAGGTTCGAGTGGTCTAGAGGCTCCAGACGCCTCCCATGGGAAGATGCCATCCGCCTGGAATACCTCTAGAATCACTCGCCATTTCTCGGCTTGAGGTCCCCTTAGGATCTCGCCGGCATAATGTAGCTTTTAGCTCAAAACTCATAGCACAATATCGAGCACCAAACCTTTACACAGAAGATATTTGCACCACCCTATACTGTATTGTATGGGCTAAATCTCGATTTAACTAAAACAAGCTTTATAACCCATTGAAAAAAGTTTGACATATTTGTACGGGTAAAATCGAGTTTTAGTTATATTCAGATTAAGCAAAATTGCTGTAAGTGGACCTAAGTTTGATAAATTAGAAAATTAAATGGCTTACAGCGCGAACAGACAGAGACGCCAGCAGACCGAAGAAGAGGAACCTGCTCAGAACCAAGCCGCTGATCCCGCTACGCAAACGCGGCACCCCGAAATCAACGAGCTGCGTTCTTTTCTACACGAGGTTTGTAATTTTAACCATTTAAGTTGTAATTGATATACACAGTCAGGTCATAACTATTGTCACACAGTAAAAACTTTTCTTTTAGAATGCTGGCCACAAAAAAGTTTATTGAATTTGAATTATTCATGAAAATAAAAATGTATACTTTTTAGAATTTTACTCATTTTTAAATATGGAGTGGACGCTTAAAGAAGACCGTGTTGCAGTTATTGCATTCGTTGCGGTTACGCGCCGATTCAAATTTTTGGCATACTGAAAATTTTGAATATAACCAAAAGATTCGTTTATCGTACCATCAAACGATACAATGAAGACTCTAGTGTAGATGACAGGTCAAGAAGTGGTCGCCCTCGGTCTATTAGGACTCCAGCAGTGATAAAAGCTGTGAAGGCTCGAATTCAAAGAAATCTCAAACGTAAGCAGAAACTGTTGGCCCTTCAGATGGGGTTAAGCAGAACCACGGTGAAAAGGGTGTTAAATGAAGACTTTTAGGGCTTCAGGCTTATCGAAGAAAAACAGGACATCGTTTGAATGCTCGTCTAATGGACCTGAGACTGAAGAGACGCGCTTTGTTGAAGCGGTACGCGGGAAAAAATATCGGGAAATTCTTATTTCGGATGAAAAAATTTTTACCGTAGAAGAGAGCTACAACAAACAAAATGATAAGGTGTACGCATACAGTAGTGAAGAAGCGAGCAACCGTATTCCGCGTGTACAACGAGGTCATTTTCCATCCTCGCTCATGGTATGGTTGGGAGTTTCTTATTAGGGCTTAACAGAGGTACATTTTTGTGAGAAAGGTGTAAAAATGCAGTTTTGTGGCAAGGACCTAGTTGGCCTTTTTTTCTGTTATTGCTTTTGTTTTGTGTAATATGATTATGTAAGACTAATAAAATTCTTTCTTTATTTATTTACGCCCTGTTTCAATAATTAACCTCCAGTAAAAGGTAAGGATAATCTGGTTCCGTTTCTTAGCAACAGTTGTTATTATGGACTTAATATCGAAAATATCTTGGCAACAAAGCTCTAGTAGGCCAACTTTTCACTGGATTTTGTTTATTGAAACTGGACGTTAATAATCCTACTAATATTATAAATGTGAAACTTTGTATGTTTTTGTAACTCAATCATGCAAGAACTATTGAACGGGTTTTGATGAAATTTGGTGCGCATATAGCTTGTGACCTGGATGGAGACATAGGATACTAGTTATCCCGGTGAAATTTTAGGTTCCTGTGGGATTCTCAAAAAAACAAAGTTAACGCGGACAATAACTTACGAGAGGAATGGATTGTCTTGCGTCGCCATTTTCGATCAGTTTTTTTAGTGCCCAGCCACGAACTTTGGGTTTGAATTTTAGTGACAAGCGCAACGCAGCGATTGCGCTGCCTGCGTTTGGTTGAATGGGTTATGTCTTTGAAGGCCCCGCTTCGTTGCGTGCTTCTCACATTTTAATACATTTGTTTTCATCGCTTGCTGCATCACTCTTAATGGCTCAGCCACGATCGTGCCGACGCACCTAGCGAGCACGCCGCAAAGCGAAGGGGCTGAAGCCCAACCTGTCAATTGCGCGCAGACCGTAACTGTGTTCATCATTGGCAAAAGTCCTAACCCGACAAAGCAAAGTCATAGCTGAGCTTTATTGGCGTGACTCTTTTCCCACACCTGCGTCTATCGTCAGCTTTAGTTTCGAAAATTCACACGCAAATTTAAACGCAATGCTACAAGACAAAGCTTCGTCGCGCAGGTGTGGGATACACATGAGCATTTATTAGTCAATCGTGTGTTGTGTATTACAGTTGGTTGGCATGGAGAGCGGCGGCGGCGGCAGCGCGGAAATCAGCGCGCGCGTGCGCTCGTGGTGCCAGCAGCGCGCGCCCGACGAGCCGCTGCGGCACGCGCTCGCACACGCCGCCGACACTGCGCACCGCGCGCAGCGCAAGTACGACAAGGTGCGCTCGATGCAGGCTTGCTGGCCTACTGATGGTAGCTGATCGACATGGAGTACAGCGCGCGCGTGCGCTTGTTGTGCGCTCGACAAGGTGCACACGATGCAAGCTTGCCCTTCTACTAATAGGATTTGTGGGTGCTAACGAACGAAGATGCAGCCGAGACTAACAGCTTAACGTGCCCTCCGAAGCACGGAGGAGCTCGAGATAATAAGTTTTGGTCACCCATCCAATGACCGACCATTGCGAAAGTTGCTTAACTTCCACGATTTCTAGACGAACGCGCTATTCACCTGCGCCATCCAGCTCCTCATTCCTCCTCCTTTAACGTCTCATTTGATAACAATTATAATGATGCGTTTCGTGCGTAGGCGCGACGAGCTCTACGCGAGTGGCGTCGCACACGCGCGCTGGTGCGTGCCCGCGAAGAGTGGTGGAGCGGCACGCTCCGGGACGCGCACCGCGAGTACGCGGCCGCGCTCGCCGCCCTGCACGACCGCGTCGCGCGGCTCGAGGTGCTGCTGCTGGTCGGTATATAAACACGCGGCACTAGTGTGCGGTGGCGGTAGACTATTTCACCTCATAGGAAAACGGAGTAAAAGGTCACTTAGGTATAAGTTAACGTTTTACAAAACTTGCACCATGACGCGAGTGTTTGCTTCGCCAACGTACCACTGTCGCGTTTTAAACCCCTTCAAACTCTAGTAGTTAAAGCCTCTAGTTATCACATCTCCGTCCTCCTGTCCTCCCCTCGTAAGCCCCTCCGATTCCGTCGGCCTAAGCACGTCTTAGAATACCAGACACAGATGCCAAACGCCTAACGGGATTGCTAAGGCTATCGCTTACGATTTCATTTATTTTTTCTGACCGCCGAAGGTTAAAATACCTCACGCTCATTTCCTTTAATGTCTCACAATCCTTGTTGAGCCGACCCCCACAGGTTTGAGTGGTCTAGAAGATCTAGACGGAGAGGAGACTTCCCCGAGGGGAGATGCCATCAGCCTGAAATACCTTTAGCGCTACTTGTCAATTCGCGGCTTGAGATGCCGTTAGGATTTACTGCATGCATCTCGTATTATCGAGTGACGTGAAAAAAACTTTTAGCTGAATTAATTGAATTCTCTATCTGTTTAATTTTATTCCGTTTGCGTTATAGGAAACTCAAAAGAAAGCCGGCTTACCCGTAATGCTGCCACATGAACCCTCAGCACGCAGAGAAACGCCGCCGCTACCACGACGGCCAGATCCTGATCCTTTGTTGATAAATGGTGAGACAACTGTATGATTTCAAGTATATTAATGATTCGATTTATCTTCATCAGTGACCTAATTGTGCAGCAGAGAAGCTTTAATTATTAACTAAATTGTGACTCTCACAGATCTAAAAAATTATGTACCACACGTCATTCCCTTTTCCCAGACCCATGGAGCTCCGACAGCGATTTGTCCGACCTCTCCCCCGTCGAGGACGAGTACGCGAAAGTGGACAAGTCCGCCTGTCGGCGGGACCGCGAGCCACCAGACCTCGGTGACGTCACTGCCACCACGGCCAGTGACGTCAGACCCTCCGCCAGCATCGTCAATGTGACGTCATCGGTAGCACCAGTGGCGACCGTAGCACCGGTTGTTACGCCCGCTCCGGTTCCTGTCGCTTCGCCGACGCCTGTTACGGTGCCGTCTGTAGCCACCGTTGTCACCACCAACGTCTCTGAACGATTGTGAGTGAAACTTATTAATAACCGACCACGGCCAGTGACGTGAGTCCGTGCAGGTTTCAATCATCTATTTTACAATCGTCTTTTTCTTATTAAACAACTGCTCTCTTTTAAGACCTATTCGCTTTTGATTGAGGATAGTTTACTGCGTGTACGGGCAAACCCGTACAATTCTATATGTTTAAGTATTATGCTAACGTCGGCGCTACGCGCGACTCGTTACGCCTTTTATTAAGTGAATTGAACAGTAGCAATAAATTACTCATACAAACAACATCGTTTATCATTTTACATAACAACATTTTCGGGACAGTTTTTCGGAACCTATCATAACTTATCAAACAACTAAAAACAGATATGATGACGTGAACACTGAACTGGAAAAACTTAAGACATCAACTATAGATTTGCGCCGGGAGAACCTAAAGTTAACTGGGATCGTTAATGAGCTTACAGACAAAGTGAATACCATAGAACAGCAGGCACGTGAGTGCAATTTGGAAATCCAATGCTTACCTGAATTCTCCAAAGAGAATTTACCCAACACTGTAATACAACTCGCTAAGGTGTTGAGTTGTCCGCTGGAACAGGAAAATATACTGTCTTGCACGAGAGTAGCCAAGTTGAACCCTAAATCAAAAAGACCCAAGACGGTGATAGTAAAACTGTCCTCACCTCGAGTTCGTGATAGCATGATCGCGGCCTGTCTCGCGTATAATAAAGCTCACCCCGACGACAAACTCAACAGTGGTCTCCTGGGTTTGGCGGGAGACAAGGAACAAATTTATTTAAGTGAACATCTGTCTCCAAGTAATCGCTCTTTGCATGCTCAAGCCCGTTTATTTAGAAAGGAGGCAAAGTACAAATATCTATGGGTTCGAAACGGTCGTATTCTAATGAGAAAAGATGACGAGTCCCCTATTCTTTGGATCCGGAATGGTGATGTACTTCAATCATTGAAGCACTGACTTTCTCTTATTCCTTTTATTTATTTTATTTTTAGTTTATAGTAAGTATTATTATCCATATTAATACAAAATTCGATCAACTAAATATTTATTATCAAAATGTTAGAAGTATACGTGGTAAATTACATGAATTATATATATCTAGTCTTAACCAAAGTTACGATGTAATTGTTTTGACGGAGACATGGCTTAATGACAGTGTATTTGATGCGGAAATTCTAAATAATAACTACCGGATTTATCGTAGAGATCGCGCCACTACATCTTCTATCAAAAAGGACGGAGGTGGAGTCCTTATAGCTGTCTCTAATAATCTTACGTCTTCTCGTCTTCCATACTTGGAAAGCAGTTCTGATGATTTATGGGTTTCGATCACCGACTCCAAGGGAGTTTTAGGTAAATTAGTTATATGTGCCTTATATCTCCCACCACCTGTATCCTCAGTAGACCTCGATAATTTACTCAGCAGTATTTCTAGTGGATTATCTTCACTAGACATTCACGATAAAATGTTAATCATAGGCGACTTTAATCTGGGAAATATTGAATGGGTCCCATGTCAATCAATGTCATCGTCAGCTATGTCTCCCAAATTCAGAAATTGTATTCTCTATCAATCCTTGTCTGATTTCATGTCATTAAATAATCTAACGCAATTTAATAATATTATGAATGGGAATAATAAACTACTAGATTTAGTTTTCTCAAGTGGTTCATCTGTTAATGTTGATTTTGTAGATGATCCTCTTGTGAGTCTTGATACACATCATCCATCGATTAATATTAATATTGACTTTACAGTTCATAAATGTTTGAAAAAGCAGACAATTTTAAAATTTAATTTCTATCGTGCAGATTATGCTCAAATTAATAAAAAATTTGATTGTGTTGATTGGGATCAAGAACTCAGAAATACAGACTCAGTCGATGCTATGGTTAATTCATTCTACTCTATAGTCAATCAAACTATAGAAAGGTACGTACCTAAAGTTTCTGCAAAATGTAATAAGTGTCCTGCATGGTACTCTAAAAACCTTATTCAAATGCTTAGAGAAAAGGAAAAATTACGGAAGAGACTAAAGCTTTGTAATAATCCTGTAGATGATTTTGAGTTCAAAGAGGCAAGATATAGATGCCATTTACTAATAAAAAAATGTTACCGTCGATATTTGTATAATATTGAAAACTCTATTAGCAAGAATAACATTAAAGCCTTCTGGAGCTATGTCAAAAACAATCGCAAGAAAGCCGTTACGATGCCCTCTGTAATGCATTTGGATAATACGAAGTTTGATACTCCTCAGTCAATTTGTAATGCCTTTGCACAACACTTCTCATCGGTATACGTGGCTAATGATCCTGCTATTCTAATGCCACACGTTGGCAGTACATCTTATGACAATAATAATTCCCTTTCTAATATATACCTATCGGTAGAATGCATTGAAAAAGCGATGAAGAAACTTGATCCAAGGAAAGGTCCAGGTCCGGATGGAGTGCCAGCCATATTCCTAAAAAACTGTGCTTCTTCTCTATCATATCCGCTAAATATTATTTTTAATAATTCTTTGTCTACTGGTGTTTTTCCGTTAGTTTGGAAATGGGCTAATGTCTTACCAATTCCTAAATCAGGAAATACGAGCGACGTGCGTAATTATAGACCTATTTCCTTATTATCTAGTTTTCCTAAACTGTTTGAAAAATTAGTGTACCCATATTTTACAAATCATCTTGGATCCATCCTCGTTCCTCAGCAGCACGGTTTTCGTCAAAAGATGTCTACAATTACAAATCTGACATGCTATGTAAATGAATTAAGTTTTGAACTGGATCAGGGTCGACAGGTGGATGCGGTGTACACCGATATAAGTAAAGCATTCGATAAGGTTAATCACTCTATAATGCTGAAGAAATTATGCTTGGCAGGTGTTCACGGCTCTTTGTTAGACTGGTGTCATTCTTATCTTTCTGAGAGATATCAAAAAGTAGTTACTTGTGGATATGAATCTGATTATATTCTGGTTTACTCAGGAGTTCCTCAGGGATCACATTTGGGAGCTCTCTTTTTTCTAGCATTTATAAACGATCTGGTTCGAGTTATTAGGTACTCAAGTTGTTTATTGTTTGCCGACGATCTTAAAATATACAAAACTGTTCAAAATTCCAATGATGCTGAGCTTTTACAAAAAGATCTGGACCAAATAGCGGCTTGGTCACACGCAAATATGCTTCCTTTTAATCCTGACAAATGTAAGCATATAAAATTCGCTAAGAAACGATTTCCGGTTAAGACTATATATTCTATAAATTCCCAAGTTCTTGAAGATGTATCGTCCATTCAAGATCTCGGTATTGTTTTGGATAAAAAATTACTTTTCACTCATCATTTTGACCATATTATATCTAAGAGTTTAAAAATGCTGGGATTTCTTTGGCGTAGTTGTAAGCGGTTTAAAAATGTTGAAGCATTGAAACTTCTATACTTTGCTTTGGTACGCAGTTCCTTGGAGTATTGTTCTGCTATTTGGAATCCTCTTTATGAGTGTCATAAAAGCAGAATTGAAAGAATCCAAAAAAAGTTTTTGTCTTTTCTAACTAGACACCAGGGAAAAAGATATGAACTCATCTCATATAAGGATAAATTGGAGTATTTCGAGTTGGTTTCATTGCGGAAACGCAGATGGGTTGCTGATCAGATTTTACTGTATAGAATTCTGAGAGGTAACATTGATTGTCCTCAACTTCTTAGTGAAATTAGTTTTAATATACCACGACCAAATTTCAGACCAGCCAACTATAAATTATTTAATTTAAAAACTTATAAAACCAACCTGGGTACGCAGAGTGTTTTAAATAGGATTTGTGAAGAACATAATAAAATCTGTACTGTGTCCTTGGTAGGCGTTGATTTGTTCGCTGCGTCATTGATTGCATTTAGGAGGGCTTTGCTATCGAGCATTGATTGTGGCACTTGATTATAGTTTAGTTTTATGTATGTTTTTTTTTATACCTAGTTTAGTTTTATATCATTAATTTTGACAGAAATAAGAGTTGTGTATGCCTGTAACTGTTTTTGCACAACTTTATGTATAACGTATGTTTTTTTTAATTATGTTGGGTGTAAAAATGTTGGCATGCCTGATAAATAAATAAATAAAAACTAAAGGTGTCCCAGATACTGCGTTATAAGAGAAAGGAGGTTTTCATTGACCAGTGATGACAAAAAATATTATTTACAATTTAAACAATTGAAAAATACATCTGAAATAAAAATGTTATTAGAACGTCAACGTCAACGACCAGCGGCAGCGGCGTCAGCGTCGGCGGCAACGGCAACGGCGTCGAAACGGTGGCGTCCCGCGAACTGGACGCGGCGGTGCCACGCGGCGCTCTACTGGACAATTCTGCGCACCGCGCGCGCACCGACTTAGCACGCCACCGCCACCACGCGCCGCACTCCCCGCACTCGCCGCACTCGCTCAGCAACGCTAGCTCCGTGAGTATACAGCGCGCGCGCACCGACTTAGCACGCCATCACGCGCCGCACGCACTCGCTCAGCAATGCCAGCTCCGTGAGTATACAGCGCGTGCGCACAGACTTAGCACGCCACCGCCACCACGCGCTGCACTCGCTCAGCAATGCTAGCTCCGTGAGTATACAGCGCGCGCGCACCGACTTAGCACGCCATCACGCGCCGCACTCGCTCAGCAATGCCAGCTCCGTGAGTATACAGCGCGTGCGCACAGACTTAGCACGCCACCGCCACCACGCGCCGCACTCGCTCAGCAATGCCAGCTCCGTGAGTATACAGCGCGTGCGCACAGACTTAGCACGCCACCGCCACCACGCGCTGCACTCGCTCAGCAATGCTAGCTCCGTGAGTATACAGCGCGCGCGCACCGACTTAGCACGCCATCACGCGCCGCACTCGCTCAGCAATGCCAGCTCCGTGAGTATACAGCGCGCGCGCACCGACTTAGCACGCCATCACGCGCCGCACTCTCCGCACTCGCTCAGCAATGCCAGCTCCGTGAGTATACAGCGCGTGCGCACAGACTTAGCACGCCACCGCCACCACGCGCTGCACTCGCTCAGCAATGCTAGCTCCGTGAGTATACAGCGCGCGCGCACCGACTTAGCACGCCATCACGCGCCGCACTCTCCGCACTCGCTCAGCAACACCAGCTCCGTGAGTATACAGCGCGTGCGCACAGACTTAGCACGCCACCGCCACCACGCGCCGCACTCGCTCTGCAACGCCAGCTCCGTAAGTATAGGTCCCACCACGTAAAGACTATTAATGTACCCACTGCTGCGGCACAGGCCTTTAAGGATGGAATAGGATTTTAGTGGAGTAAAAACGCTTCGAAAGTGTCGGCCGAGGTAATGCCGTAACTATAGATTGCCTCACCACGTCCTGAAAAATATATTTATCTTACTTATTCTGGGATAAGTTTGTAGTTTTATCTAGGAATTCGAATCTATCTTCAGGGTTCTCATTCCTAGTTCAGCGTCCCACCCTGCGAAATGCTTTGGATTGCTTATTAAGACCAGTGAAGATGATATTTCCGAAGATGCAAATCTCAAAAGGAATGACAGGTAATAACAGGGGAGAATGGATGAAGGAAAATAGGTAGGAGGTGTATAGATCCACCTCGGAATTATTTTGGGCTACACCAAGTTACAAGTCCCTTGTGAGCCCACATCGCTGGCTCAGCCGCGTACACACGTCTCCTGAGGCTGAGCATTCGCCTGTTACACTTATCATTATCATCAGCCTATTAATTGCTATCCCTAACCCCCCTGCTAAAACACAGGCCTTCCCCATGAATGGAATAGGGAGATTGGGCCATGACCCACCACGCGGGTCCAGTGCGGATTGTTGGGTGCTAGGGACTGCAGATGCAGCTGAGACCAACGGCTTGAAGTGCCTTTCGAAGCACGGAGGAGCTCAAGACAGTAAACTTTTGATCACCCATCCAATGACCGACCACTCCGAAAGTTGCTTAACTTCAACGATCGCAGCCGAAAGCGCTATTGAGCGCCTTTTCCTCACTTCACGTATATCTGCGTATAAATTGTGTGCAGCTGCCACGCGAGCCAATTATTAATTTGATTCGTCGTCAATTTGCCGCACAAGCCAAGACGTAGCATGAGTAGACACGACCCATGTCGGAAAAACCCGCAGCCAATAATTAGGCCAGATTAAAATTTCGCGTCCTTATATTACGTTTGTTTTATTCTACAGTATGACGGTCTTGATGATTCGTATAATGACTCTGCTGACGAATCACTAAGCGAATCGACGTCGGGCGCTCCACCTAACACAGGTCATTCTACGGTATGTACAATTTTATTTTCTGATTAGGATTAGGCGTTGTTACCCTTTGGTAATCCCCTAATCCTAATCAGAAAATAAAATTAAAATAACTTTTTATTTTTAGTAAAATTGTGCAGAGACAATTCTTCTGTTGTTCATTAAAAAGTAGACTTTAATTTGGTAACTATAGCTGCGTTCATTATTTGCGTCTGATCAATCTTTTTAGTCTGAATCGTTCGTTTATTATATCTAGAGGTAGGGGAAGTAAATCTTAACTGTTCTGTAATTCTGCTCAGATCAGTCCGATGTTAATCTGTTTGCTCTAAGTATCTTGACCGACGAGAAAGATTAATCTGTACCCTTAGTACGAGTTTTACAATTACGATAACTATGATTTTATGAACTTTGGTTTTCGTGAGCACTTGTACTAAGCGTACTGATTTTATTGTTTTCGTTTCAATACAAATAAACAGTGTTAAAATTCTATCATTAAATCAAATCATTTGCGTCTTCTTAAATTTTAAGTATATTTGGTTACTTTTCACAAAAATTAACATAGAAACATAATTTACAATTACGAAAACTATGATAGTTTTATAGAAGAAATAGTAGGTTGATTGGTCATATTATGTTAAAATTTTAGCGTGACACTCGGCAAAGCTGCGGCAGCTCCATAGGAAGTGCCACAGACGATGGCATATATTCGCGGGACCACCGACACCATCCACTATCAGGTACGCGTGTGAGCAATGCATCAATCACTCCATACATTCGTCCCACGTTTGCAAGCTTGTGGTGCATTAAACGGTGCGTTAAATAGTACGAACTTTACGAATTTCACAGTATGAAAAATTAAGTACCAATTATTGGCATGTGTATTTAACATGAATATTGAGAGCGAGTTCACTATTCTGACAAAAAAAGTAGTTGATAATATTACTAAAAATCATGAAATAGAGAAGTATTTATGACTAGCGGCCGCCCGCGATTTCGCCCGCGTTAACTTTTTGAGAATCCTACAAGAACCTAACATTTTGCCGGGTTATAAAGTATCTTATGTCTCAATCCAGGTCATAAACTATATGCGTTCCAAATTTCATCCAAATCCGTTCAGTACATTTTGCGTGATTGAGTAACAAACATACAAACTTCCACATTTATAATTAAATTAGCAGGATCTATTGTCACGTGACTGAAAACGCCTAGGATTTACCGAGCCTTGCGCGGACAGTCGGCAACGGTTGCCGCGACCACACCCGCACTCCCGGCGTGCATTGGGGGGACTGCGGTCCTCAGAATGTACGCCGGGTGACCGGTGCAGGAGTATTGTCTGGTTTTTAGTGGCCCTGTTCAGGGCGTTAGGTAGGGCCCTGCTCATTTCACCCGGCCTAAGGGCTGGCTGAAATGAACAGGGAGGAGTCCCACATACCTTCTTCTCGCTCCCCCGGTGGTTGAAGGATGCGTAAAGCATTTCACAGACAAAAAAAATGGGTGCGTGTACTTATGTAGGCGCGTGAGAAGTTATCCTTCTTTGGCATCGTTTAAAATTAGTTTTTAATTGCATGCAAATAATTAATTACAATAAATTAATAAAAAGTCTGGAAAAGGACACAGTAAATAAAGTTCAGTTTAATTTGAAAAAATAAATAAATAATCAAAATATTCAATTAAAATCGCTACTGAATATAATTTATTAGAACATATGTGATTTGCACTTGTATGAAACTCAAACACGTATTCCGAATATACAAACTAGAAACATGTGGATAAATATTATAAATATGAATACCTATAACTTTTACTTTATTACAAAAAATAAAGATGTGGTTTTTGGTTCTACTACACCAATGGTCAAGAGATGGCGGTGTAGTCTCCTGAATCGCGCTTTGGTTCCGTTGTTCCAGATTAATAAATACTTTTGATATTATAAATACGAATACCTATAACTGTTACTTTATTACTAAAAATAAAAATGTGGTTTTTGGTTCTACTACACCAATGGTCAAGAGATGGCGCTGTAGTCTCCTGAATCGCGCTTTGGTTCCGTTGTTCCAGATTAATAAATACTTTTGATAGGCCTTCACAATGCAGTCGTTAGCACCCACTAAATAGAGATTCTATTTCTATTTTGTTGGTAGATTTTCTTAATGTGCGGTAAACACAAAAGTAACAGCATGAAGTTGGTCGCTTTAGCGACCAACTTCATGCTGTTAATATTTTGTGTTACAGTGATGCGCGCGCATCTTAAAATTTCACTCTCATCATTTTTTCATAACGCGCCTAAAGAAGTATAACTTCAAGTAATAATAACTTCAAAAAAAGATTTACCGAGCCTAATATGAGGTCAATATGCTTGTTAACACGCTGGTCGTTGTTACATTACTGTTAGTGTAGTTTGGCGTTTAAATGACTGACGCTGTGTGATGTCACAGGCCTGTATGATACCATATCAGATACAGAGAAACGTTACCGTGGCACATTGAAAAAGAGAATTTTATAAGTTTACTGATATACGCAACAGAATTATAAATATGCACTTTTTTGGAGTCACTATACACTAATAAATAACGTATGAACATTTCAAAACCTTGTAAAATAGCCTATTGACTGCGTCGTTTTCAGCACCTTGTTGACAAACAAAGTTCTCGTGTTATTTTCATTTACGCGCTGAGTTAATTATAGTTTCGTCGTATTCATTTTATTTCTGTTATTTTATAAGTATGTGATTGTTTATCCAATTAAATAATTAGAATTAATTCGGTTCGCGCTACAACGCACTGTTTAATCGCACCATCACACATAACACACGTGCGAGTTAGCTTACACGAAACATTGTCCTCGAGAAATCCCGGGCATGTGCATTAATGCATTATAGTAGTGATTACGATATACATTGTCATAATATTGTGATTGACTCCTCGCTTTTGTGTCCCAGGTAATAATTTGTGACTAATGCTTATGCGTATTCAGGTAATTAGAAACCACACATATTCGCCACACATTCTACGATGTGAATTTCAAAAAACAATCTTGAGTGTCAATAACTTAGTGACTCGTATTAAAAAGTATCAGGAATAAATTTATACGGCCTTAATACAAAATGATGACTAAAGTTAAACCTGGCCTAAAACTGATGGGTTTGCCAAATAGAAGACAAAGACAACATAAGCTTTATACCATGAGTATTTTTAGTCCGCGTTTTGTAATAAGGGGGATAATGTTTACATTTTTTGAGAGTTGATTTGGCCACTTCTGATGCCCTAAACCAGAGGATGGAGCAAAAACTGACGGTCGTTAATCTTTTCTTATTAACATTTATTACCAGTTATGTAAGAATTTATAGACGCAATATGAGAGAAGTTACACAAATAATGTTCAACCTCTCAAATCGTAACTGACTATATATAATCTTGGCACGTCGTGCTGCTGCTCTTTCTCATTTTATATTAAAGAAGCATCATATTTTAGAGCGAGACTGCCTATAGAGTGGGGTGGCTAAAAGTTTGTCTTCTACTTACCGACTCCATATTATTATGCGTTATCCTAATTGATAAAAAGTGACAGAGCTATGGCAAAACACTGAAGACTCTTTTATTAATTTATTTCCCTTAAACATAGATTTGAAAGTCAACTCCCTAGCATGTGTTAGGTACGTACACAGTACCGCCAAGAGAGTGTTAAGACTAATTGATGGAAATTGGAATGGAATGTGAAAAACATTTCTCTTACATTGTATATTCTTGATACTAAGCGGGTACTGTTACCTACAGACATACCGGGAATGCCGTCGTTGTGAAGAAAACCTAGATAATCTTTTCTAATAATTTCCAAAGTAGTGAGTAATTTATATCCAATTCCCAGCAACTTTTCCCACCCTTTCCAATACCCAGCAGAGCTCTAACATACTCGTCCACACAGGAAAAGAACACTACAGACAATCATTATCAGTATAGTTGTACCCTTCTCTTAGATTGCATTTCAATCCACTCCGGTTCAATGGAGAGTTCAGTTAGTATAACTATTCTAAGATTAAGGTCGGAGGAGTACATTTCAAACCGTATATATTTATGAGATAAAATAATAGCAGCTAGTTAGTGTAACAAACAAAGTGGGCTAAATATACTTTGAAACATTCACGTTGCATTATAAATATGCTATATTTATAATGCTATATTTAAATGCTACTTAAACGGGTTAAAACGCGCACTTTAATAAAGGTTTTCGTACCTTCTTTAATTAAAGTAGGCTAGTATGATAAGGGTAGGTGTGTAAGGGTTCGCGGTCGATAGGTCCGCCGGCGTCGCTAGCGGAGCAGTTGAAGCAAGTGTTGGCGGAGAGAGAGAGGCGACTCGCTACCACAGACGCGCCTCAGACCACCCACGTGACCCACGTGACGCACACGAGCCACGTGAGCCACGCGACGTCTCATCGCCCGGACCCCGTGCAGCTCACCAATGAGCTCGTGGACGAGATACGCCAGGCCGTCAGTGAGGCCAACGCCCGAGGTAAAATGATACCTCGCGCACGCACACTTATATGTACGATTAAAAAAAACTGATTCCTGACCCACTTTGCCCGATAATTCGCTTATAAATGTCAAAACATACAAGTATTCATCCATAGAGTATACGTAATTACACTTAGGACCTTTGAATTTCGAAATAAGATTCAAAATCGTAAATATAACAAACATTCGATATCTTTCTTGACATTAAAAAAAAACTTTGGTAAAATAAAAGGTAAATCCCATCCCATGAAAATCCTAAATCTATAATCAAAACTCCAAAAAACTAACGTCAACATTATGTTATAGAGAGGCGGCAATATCTGTCATTTTAATTATGATTGATCTGAAAATAAAACTTTGTTACTACATTTAACAAAATAAGCTTATAGTGGGTCAGGAATTAATTTGGCTGATCGTACATAGTATTGGATAGATACTAATGGAAACGAGATATTTATAGTTACCCAGGAACACTATTCACGGAAACGAGCTAGTACCGAATTTCCTGTGGATGGTAGACATGGGCGTTTTTGGTTTTGAATGCAAACGGATATTTATCGGATTTCAGATTTCAAAATCGATTTTAAAATCCGTTTTTAGATATCCGATTTCAGATGTGCCGAACTAAGCCAATTCACTAGTTTGTGTTATGATTTGGTTTTATTAGCTAACGACAATCACAAACGCAAAGATACTCGTAGATTTCCTTCATGCTTTAAATGTAGGCTTAGGACTATCAGAAAAGTTATGTTTAGGGTTAAGAGTAAAACTTTTGCGGCGCATTTAAAAATCGGCTTATATACAATGATTTCTTTTTACATATTTTTTTTTTGTTTTTATTATTTTGCAAACCATTTACAAAATTAAACCTTATTACTTCAGGTTAGCGTTCTAAAATGTAAGTTGCTCGACTTTTGATGTTCTTAGACGGCATCTCTTTTCAGTGATAAATAATCCCGCCTTAGAGAAGAGCAATAGATTTCCGTAAACAGCAAACCGAAAACGGACTTCCGAAAACGAAAGCACGAATTTCGAATCCGATTTACATTTGGATACTTGTGGTGGTATTAGATCGCTAGCGTTTTGGTTCGGTTAGATTTCTGAAATCGGATTTTCTTGTTGAGAAATCGTTCGGTATCGATTTGTGATTCAAATCGGATTTTGGATTCGTTTTGATATATCGGACGCATGCCTAGTGGATGGCGTAATGACGCGACGGTGTCTTGTTTCTTCGACATTTACTACTCGCACGAGGAATGGAATGTTATGCCACTATCTGTATTTTTCAAGGAGAGGGTAGTTAGGCATCTTCTCTAAACAAACAAGCGCCATCTTTGCTCTCGTCAGTACTTCAAATGCCATGCCTAAGGCGAATTTTGTCTTTTCATTGTTAAAAAAATGAATTCCGGTCAATAACAGTCCCCTTTCTCGTGTGACGCAATTTTCCATACCTGTCTTTAAGCTATTGTGTTTTAAAAAAAGCGCTTCATTTAACTCGTTTCCGTGAACAGAGTACAGATAATAGGCAAATAGCGGCACACGATCTGAACTCTGTACAGACTTTATTGGGTTGTATATGCTTTAGTTCCAAGATATTTGCCACTCATTATAATAATTTAATTCGCGGATCGAATTCGCTGTCCTCTATTGATAAGTAGTATATTTACATGGTCAGTAATTTTGTTAGTTTTCTTTATGACATACTGGCTGACTTATATTAGCGAAAATGTAAGAATAATATGTAGACAGCGATAACGAACAAAATCGGACGAATTAGACATTAGATTAAGCCCAACACTTATGTCTTCTACTCTTTAATTAGCTTTTGATTTTAGAAAAAGAAAACATTACTATTATTTTACTGAAACATGTTTCATAAAATGACGACACTATCTTCTACGCTTTATGTATATCTTATGTTTGGGTCTGTTTGATTCATTTAATATTTATTCTTTCACTATCATTCCTTGGCTGGTTACACGATTTGCATTTTATTTTAATTTTGCATAATATATTGACATTAATTTAATTATGAAAATGTCCAGAAAAATCAAATATATTGTGCAAAAATTATGTCAACCTTGATTGCTTAGTGCTGTGATCTTTGCCTTGTTTATATTTTCTTATTTTACGTGTATTAGTATTTGTGTCTGAAACAAATTCTATGTAAAATTAAAAACGGTGGTTGTCTATGTTTTTTCTGGTCTATTTTTTTTATTTAAGCATCTATCTTTTTTTAAATTTAGTTGGTGGTTCGAATTTTAATTTGACAGTGCCTATAAGTCTTGACGGATTTTATATGGCGTATAAGATAAAAGTGCCAATTGATAGTAATTTAATGTTTCTACTATTGGGACCTTCCATATCGACGAAACAGTGATAAAGAACCATGACCCAAATCGCCGGGTCACTAGTGTTTGATGAGTGCTAACGACCGCAGATGCAGCTACAACCAACGGCTTATTGCGAGGTAATCGTGCTAAGAAAGGCACGTGCCTTTCAAGCCTATCTTTCTTTTTCAAACTCGAAACAGCAAAATTTTACTTCAGCCTATGACTGGCCAACTTGTATTGACTCTGCGAGTTAGGCTACTGAATCTTCATATAATATCCATAAAGAAGGCCCACAGAGCATCCCTACCAGAGCCCGCATTATAAAATATTTATTTGGAATCCAAATCGCTAGTTATCGCGTAAAAGGAGGGTAACCGTGTTTTGATGCTACAGGGCAATGTGATGTCATAATCGACTGACAAATTTGGTGAAACCACGTATCACAACCTCATCGATGTTCGGGGGCGTGTCACACGCTTATGCGGTAATATGACACAAGTGGGTGCCGTTATATGCGTCTCTAGTGGAGGTGTTCTGTGCAGGTGCCCAAGCAGTGGGGACATTGATAGGCTTATTGATGATGATGTATGGTCTTATTGTGCGCGTGTGGTTGTAGTGAAGAAAGCTCCGACTTGTGTAGTCGGCGGCGAGGTGCCGTGGCAGCCGTTGTCCACCGCCGTGTCGGAGAGCAGCCTGGCGCCGCCCGCGCACGCGGGGCCCTTCGCGCCGCTGCCAGTCAACCAGTGGACTAAACAACAGGTAGCGTATACTGACCGCGCGTGTGTGCTTGTATGAAGGCAGCACCGACTTGTCTAGTCGGCGGCGAGGTGCCGTGGCAGCCATTGTCCACCGCCGTGTCTGAAAGTAGACTGGTGCCACAACGCACGATCTGCGAATCGTGGCAAATGACAGTTGTTTGGATGTTAATTTATATAACATACCTATAGGTACGACAACGCACTGGCATCCGCGGTTGTAAACTTCTTCAGACTTATAGAGACCACGCACGACACCGCAAGTTCGCGGTTTTGTGTTCTAAACTTTATTTTTGAGATTTTTTAACTTCGTGGTGTGCGAAAAAAATGGCCGCGTGGTTTCCACAAGAGCCTCTTCGCTTCGACGCGGCACTGCTCCTCCGCCATCAGTCGCGGTTTGCGGCTCGTGCGTTGATCACCTAAAGCACAGGCAGACGCGACTTGCGGTCGCGGACGTGTAGGCGGCCAGTCTTATTCGCTTGCAATGTAAGCGAGTGGCTAAACACGATCGACCAATAAGGGCTGGCCGCGGCCGCGGGCTGCCTCTGTCTGTGAAACCGGTGTGCATGAAAACATAAGAAATATATACAATAAAATAACTCATATCCGATATCATTGTCACAGGTATGGCAATGGGTATCGGGCGCAGGCGAGGGCCTAGAGCGTCACGCGGGTGCTTTCGCAGCGCGTGGCATCGACGGCGCGTTGTTACTGGCGCTGAGCTCCGCTGACCTCAAGCTGCTGGGGCTGGGCGGAGACGACCGCCGCCGCATGAAGCGACGCCTCAAGGAGCTGCGCAGCGCGCACGAGAAACACCTCAAGGCGCTAAAGAAGGCAGAGAAGAAGGCTAAGAAGAAGTAGACTCCTACCCACTGGGTCAGTACACACAAACTTATGTTTAAAATCGCCTGCCCATCAAAGTTTACAGCGCCGCTGCAAACCCCCCAAGAAAGACTAAAAGCGAAAAGAAGTAGGCGCCTTTCTTTACTGACACCTAAACCGTTGCTGCTTCAAAATCGCGCAACGACCTCCGTCTATTTGGAGTTCCGCTTCAGTGACTTGAGATCAGCGCAGGAGTGTGGCAATGGGTACTAGCGCTGAGCTTGGGCGACCTCAAGCTGCTGGGGCTGGGCCGAGACGACCGCCGCCGCATGAAGCGACGCCTCAAGGAGCTGCGCAGCGCGCACAATAAACATCTCAAGGCGCTCAAGAAGGCAGAAAAGAAGTAGACTCCTACCCACTGGGTCAGTACACCCAAACTTATGTTTCTTTAAAATCGCCTGCACATCAAAGTTTACAGCGCCGCTAACCCCCCAAGAAAGACTAAAAGCCAAAAGAAGTAGGCGCTTTTCTTCTCTGACACAAACTATTGCTGCTTCAAAATCGCGCAACGACCTCCGTCTATTTGGAGTTCCGCTTCAGTGACTTGAGAACAGCGCAGGAGTGTGGCAATGGGTACTAGTGCTGAGCTTGGGCGACCTCAAGCTGCTGGGGCTGGGCCGAGACGACCGCCGCCGCATGAAGCGACGCCTCAAGGAGCACGCACAATAAACATCTCAAGGCGCTCAAGAAGGCAGAAAAGAAGTAGACTCCTACCCACTGGGTCAGTACACCCAAACTTATGTTTCTTTAAAATCGCCTGCCCATCAAAGTTTACAGCGCCGCCGCAAACCCCCCAAAAAAGACTAAAAGCCAAAACAAGTCGGCGTCTTTCTTCACTGACACCTAAATCGTTGCTGCTTTAAAGTCGCGCATCGTCCTCTTGACTATTTGGAGCGTCGCTTCAGTGACTGGAGAATCGCCCATGAGTATGGCAATGGGTATCCGGCTCGGGCGATGGCCCGGCAGGAATCGAGCTCCAACAGTTTGGAGCCTCAGCTCTGGTATGAGAACTGCGTACAAGAAGCACCTCAAAAAGGGGTTCTTTGAGCCGGCGTTGTGCGTCCTAATGAGGCTTCTATACCGCTGATATAAACATAGCGAGTTTATAAGAAAATTAACATTTTTTTATTTTAATCATTTAATTGCTAAAAATATAAATCTAGTTTTTTTACTAGAAAAAAATCTCTATGCCGACACTTCCCTCGGCTATTCTTATTTGCTGTTTGTCATTTTTACAACAGATTATCTTTATCATTTTCTGTAGCAGAGAATAGGAGAAACCGTTGTCAAGTTTACAAACAGCAAATACGAATAATTATAAGTGCCAGTATATAAGATTTATAAACAACGTTGTTTGTTTGTTATGGCTGTTTATGTGTGTGCACGGCACGTACAGGGACAATCGTATGGGACACGAGGTAAAAATTAACAATCGGAAATCAACTTTATTGAAACTGGTGTTCATTGTCACTATGAAGAGATGAAATTGTGAAAATGAAGTAGCGTAGCGTTTGGAACTATTTTAACCTATTGGTCGCTTCTCAATACACCGATTGTATGCATGACTATCTAATGGACGAAGTTCGCAAAAGTCGAAGTATTTTGGATCGAACTGAAGCTCAGCTTATACACAGAGTTAAGAAAATTCAAGTGGCTATTGATTTTAAAGATGCTACTTTTAGTTTACAAATCAAATAAACATGAAATTTGGATTCTTCATACTTAATTACAAATGCGCTTTTTGATTCGCTGTTATGCAATTCATCTTCTTAAATTTTTAACGTTAACTATTAAGAGAGAACAGTATAAAGAAGCCTTAGAGACTACACCGATACTATTTCGTAACGTTTAAGCCTTTATCTCGATCATCTCTTCAACTTCTGTCTATCTTCTTTGCTCATTTCTGACTTGTCTTCTATATCTACTATCATTCTGTTTCCCATGCAATTGTGATATTTTCTTTGCCAATTTTCAATAGTTTCTGTATGTTGTTAAGTGTTAAACCAACTGTTTTTATTATTTCTGAATATGGCTGTTTCCGCACCTATTTCTTTTTGGCGTATATTTAGTTTGTAGAGGATATTGGGCTAGAGTCACATCAGCCATTGCAGCTCCGTTATGTTTTCAGTTATGTCCCTAGAGCCTTCATATTAACGATTGTTTTGGAGTTGAACATTGATAATACCTCTCTGTTCCATTCCCGCATAATGCGAGCGGCTGTTTCCTCAGCCTTCATTAATCTTTTAAATAGAGGGGTTGTCCGTGTCATCTAAGTCGAAAAGATGTCTATGAAACAACGCTTAACAACACACATTATTACGTTTCATGTAAATATATTTTTTCGAAGAGTGCATGTAGGTAGTTATGTTCCAAGAATAATTTCTTGTGTCCATTGCGTTCAACGCACAAGATCATGCGAGTGAATCTGTTCGACATCGGTGATGGATATCTAGCTGTGTCTGATAGCGTTTGGAGTGCCATCTGACCTGTAGCTTAGAGTTTAGGGACGTTAGTGCTGCTTTGAACGAAGAAACGAATCTAATGTTAATCGAAAAATTAGTTGTAAGCCAATAAGAAACAGGACAATTAGAGAATTTAATTTTAGACTGTCTTATTATATTCTTATGATAATCTAACCTATTGCTGTATTTAATCCTCAACTGATATTGCGTTGAATGTAATAATGAAATTCTTCGTTGTTCCTACATTTTGTATTAATTGCGTCAGGTTTTCTAGTTCGGAATGAATCGTGGACGATTGGAAAAACACTGGCTCAATCTAGTCATAAGATGAATTGTGTAAACTGTTTGGAAAATCATCAAACTTCAATACTTAGATTTTTTTCATATAGTTATAAGATTTTTAGGATAAAACTGTTAACCTTGAAGATTAAGGTGTGTGGATAAAACTGTCGTCATGTCACGTACCTATTATTATGTCAAACTATATGTATTACTAAATAATTAACTTATTTTAGATTTCGTAATCGGAAAACAATGCAAATTGATTTTGGTTACTTCAGCATTTAATTTCGATATGTATTGCACAAAATGTACTTAGAAATAAGGTGACACTGTTGAGTGTTGCCAGGTTTAGTGTTTAAAATTATATAAATAGTCAAGTTTCATGAAGTATGTGATCTCATTTCATGTAAGAGTACCGCTACGTATCCATCTCACCCGGGTCGCAGTACTTGTTGAGGCAGTTAATTTTCACTGGTTAGTTAGTTAGTGATGAGATACAGTTTTCAGTTTCTTTTTTTACAATACATTCCAATATTCTTTTATTAACGTTAATTTGAGTCACATCTTTGTGTTTTTTAAAATAATTAAGTAATCTTTTATAGTTTCTCTTATAAGCAACAAAATATATTCAGCGTTATTTCTGTCTGTATAGTTATGTATGTGTTTGGTTTTTCTGTCTGATGTCGTGTAAATAAAGCCTCAAATTTAGACTGAATCGGACTACCGAGGAGTGCTTGTAATGCCGTGTGACTGAATGTACATTTGAATATTTATTTCTAATAAGTTTTAAATAATTAATGTAAGTAGAGTCGATTAACCATTGCCAAAATTAAACAGTACATTGTTTGATATTTGTTGATTTATTAATTTACTTCTCTTTTAAATTATGTTAATATTTATTTTGGGACCAAATTAATTTATTATGAACTTTCTAATTTTATGTATTTGGGTGTGTGTTCAGATGAAAGATTTTTATTTATAATTTAATAAACAAACCAAAGTCTAAATCATATTGTTTTTACTGTTATATTCAGTGTGAACAACATGTATATTATGTGAGGTGATGATGGAAATATAATCTGCAGTGTAAACACGCCTTTAATTTTTTTTATATCTTTAATGAAGGTTGGTGCGCATTATACGGATCGGAAACTGGTCGGCACCGCCTCTGCTCAAACCGGTGTTAAATTCTTGGAATAAAACTCGAACTTCGTTAGTAAATTGCGAGCTGACGGCGATACGATGCCAATCTATTACAGATTTGATACAATGTCAACCAAACTTTCGTATAAAAAGCTATTCGCTGCATCTGACTTCAGCATAAATGTTCCGATCAATATCTAAACGCCAGGCACAGTGTCGGCGGTCAATACATATCACTCGCCAACGACAACGTCTCGTTACCAAGAAAAACCGCGTTTATACGGGACAAAAATGACCTCCTCCTGTGAGGAAGTAGTATAAAAGACTGAAAGAAGGAACTAAAAAGCCAACAAGTAGTAACTTTCCACAGGAACAAAATATAATTTAGTATTTTGCTCGCGCGCCAAACTAGAAAAATATTATTTTGTTAAAAATGTTATGGAAAATCACTCGCTTGGTTGGGTTTTCCGTTACACTCTAACATTATCTTACCCAATGAAAGGGTAGCCATTATCCATTGGCAGAAATTTGATTCGGAAAAGATGTCTGTGTGTGTGTGCAGTGGCGGATTTACAAATTTGCCGCTAATAGGCTATTCAATTTTTGCCGCCCCTACTGACCTTTGAAATTCAATACGCTAGTTCGCAATTATATTTATTCTGTAATTGCAACTTTATGATTTGTGTTCTATCGTCCACATTACGTACGGGCTTTTCCCCGTTAGTTTAAAAAAATATTACTAAATTTAAATTGTAATTAATATTGAAACGCTATTGGAATATTTTAAAAATTCATGATCGCATAAGTACCTATATTTTACAGTGGGTTTAGTAATCTTTTATACAGGCTGTTACAAAAATACAAATAAAGCTTGAAGGGCGTTGAAGTTAATCATATAAACAGTCTTCTCTAATTTTCTTAAAATATTTGCATGAAGTTTTAACTTTTTTATAAAAGCAGTTATTTATAATGATCCTCGAACTAGTGACGTTTCTTAAAATTATCGATATTTTTATTAATCATTAAAAATAACTGTTTTTATAAAAAAGTTAAAACTACATGCAAATATTTTAAGAAAATTAGAGAAGACTACTTATATGATGTACTTCAACGCCCATCAAGCTTTATTTGTATTTTTGTAACACCCTGTATACGGATTACTAAAATATAAAAAAAAAATTCACTCGTTTTTCTGGTATATTTTAACCAAATTTGTCGCCCCCTAAAATCTGCCGCCCTAGACTCCAGCCTACTGAGCCTACTGGTAAATCCGCCACTGTGTGTGTGTAACGTAAGTGTTAAAGTGTAGTTGAAGAGTTTGGAACCATCTTTTAGCTCGCTTTGTTACAGAGTTACGCTTCCATATCATTTCCAATTCGTATATATTATAAATTCTCGTTGGATCATTTAATTTTATCAAAAAATATATCTTTAAGAAAAAATATACTCACTAGATCGATCATTTGTCTGGCAAATTGATCTCAGCGTTAGCTCACACACACCAAAGAGCGACGCGACGCGACGCAGCGTGCACATTTTAATAGAGCGTCTCAAAACATAATGAATAGAAAAGTTGTGTGTGCTCCATTGCGTTTCCACCAAGATGTATGAGGATGCGGCGAAGGATGTGATGTTTGTGAACTACCCCGTGAGTGCGTAGTACCTACTTATACGTAGGTATAATGCGATTCAACTAAGAATAGGACCGACTGGGCGCCATATTGTGATATCATAGCTGACAATTCAAACCAAATAGGCAGTGAGCAAAAAAAATTTTTATTTAATAAAACTTATTTACTAAGATTAAGTGAGAAAAATCATCAGATTTTTGTAATAACATTTATTTACTAAGATTGAGAATAAACAACCACCGATTTTTATTAATATTTACTAATTAGGACTATGAGAAAAAACATTCATAAGAATCTAGCTCTTCTGTTCCGCTCATCTCTGCATTACCGCCAGTGTAGTTATGAATAATCATGCACTATTGCTAGGTCACATACGAACATGCATCCTTTATGTAAACGAAAGTTTGAAAGCGAGTTTCTGGACGCAACTTAAAGTGACATTTGGTTGACGATTTAGGTTATCAACCATTCATGGCCAAAGCTCAATAAGTGAAAAAAAAATATCTACCGTTATTAATTATCAATATTTGTTATTGTTTGTTTAAAAATGTTAGGTTTTTATTCTAGAATTAGCGGAGTGCTAAAAAAGGGTTCCAAGATTTTTTTTGCAAACCGTACTTTTCAAACAACATTTGACAGATAAAGGTCATTGGCTTTCCTATTCTTATTTGAATCGCATTATGACGCGCATAAGTTGTAAACAAGTGCAGATGTCGTTGCACTTTCTTATTTACGCCGCATTGCATAAGGCTCATATTAGAATGAGCGACCCGCGTTGTACTGGGTAATATGTCTCTGTCTCCAGTATTTTCGAGGTTTTGTTTCGAGAGCGTTGTTTTGTAAAAAACACTCGAAATAAAAAAAACAAGTGCATTTTGCAACCTCAGTTGCTGCTCATTAACGTCTTTTTCGGGTATGTATATTACCAAGTACAAGTGTGGCTTGGTTATCAGCTAGACCCAAGAAACTCCTACCTGCGCCGGAAAACTGCTAAACACAATTTTTTAAAAAGGAGTGCAGTACTAAAGGTGGTTGCAAAGATGGTGTACTGTTTTGTTCTCTGTCATGTATATAGATGTAAGGCCGGTTTAAAACCAATTAAACCAATCCGTTTAAAACGAAAAAAACCGTTTAAAAAAAATAAGTTAAAAACTTTATGTTTTCAAACGATATAAATCAATTCAATCAATTTTATTCGGTTTAAAACCAAACTCACACTCTCGCACTCTCGTTGACGTCACTCGTCGTTACTCGACGCAAAGCTGCCAGCTCGCCTACCCTACACACACATGCACACCTTTATTCTCATTTGTTCGATTCATTAGTTCGATCGTCGAACTAGTGAGATTTTTTTTCCTCATTAGTCCGATAGTCGAACTACTGAGATTTTATTGTTCTCATTTGTTCGACCTTCGTCAATATTGCATCCATAAACATTTATAAAAATCACTATTTAGAAAGAAGTACCAGGAAACCATACAAAACTATGAGGTTCTGGTAATGAAAATGGATAAATAAAGAAAATAAGTTCGACGACGTTCGAACAAATGAGAACAATAAAATCTCAGTAGTTCGACTATCGCACTAATAAGAGAAAAAAATCTCACTAGTTCGACGATCGAACTAATGAATCGAACAAATGAGAATAAAGGCATGCACATACATAAACTGCCGGCCGTCCGCGCCAGGCACGCACACTTCTCAGGCGCGAATACAACAGGGGGTAGGTTGGGGCATGGATGGAGTCTGCTGACAGTAACCACATCATGTACAGTCAGGTCATTTTTACAGTTAACATCTCAATGTATCTTGTTGTATATGTCAAAATGTGCTTTTAAAAGTGACCCCCTGATTGTAGGAACGTTCGCATGTAGTTTTTGTATCTTTGTCATAGGGGTTTGTTATTTATGATGACTGTAAATAACGAACTGGTACAAAATTTAAAAAAAAAATACCATTTAATAAAACTAGTTTTTTACGGGTTAATGCACGAAACTTTATTTATTTATTGACGTTTCGTAGTCTTTACAGGCTACGTCGTCAGAATCAAATTTTATTTAATTTTGTCGAGCTACCTTCGAAAGACTTTATTGAGCGTTCGGTTATTTCATTGTTCGATTTTTAAAATTTTTATTGTCTGTATGAATTTATTACTTAATTTAGTTAATAAAGTATGTTCGGAAATCTAAGGGCACGCGCCAGATTCCCTCCCGATTGATTAAGTAGTCGCATAGCAACACGCGTGTCGAGTGGTGTCTTGGCAGCCTAGATAGGGCCCCCTGTATATGAGTAGATGTTTGTGTGTTCCACTGTGTTTTGTGAGCAAGTGTTCCTTGGAGATTCAGGGCCTATTGACGGGCTTTGATCAGTTTCGACCTCGGGGGAGCGCTTCTCCCCTCGCTGCTCAGGTGCTGTATGGGACACTTGCTAAGTGAGTTTTTTTGTATTGTTAATAGGATTAGGTATTTCTAACGTGTGATTCTAGCTCCGCGTATCGCGGACGTAGGTGTTTACCCCGGTATTTGGTTTTGGCTAGGGTGACGAGTTTTCCACCCCCCAGAAACCGGGCGTACGACACATAATTTCTGGTAGCAGAGCGTGGTTGGCTACATTTGGTTAGCACCACTTATTCTTTTGTATAGCCATTGGGCTAGTTGTTAAATATTATTATTTGTTAAATATAAATTGTTTATTTAATTACTGGACTGCACGTTCGATATGCCTATTATATTATTAGGTCGTGTAGGTTTAATGTCTACCATAAAAAAATAATGTAAAATATTTAAATTAATTTTAATAGAAAGTTAGTCAATAACCATTCACGCGCTCGGTGAATGATACCTGCGTGGCAGATTCTTTTGTTCCCTGTTTGTTACCAGGTGCTACTAGTTTAAGATAAGCCGGCCGGCGAATGTGTTCATGCGGTTATCGGCCGTACACCGTAGGGAATTAGGTTTGTTTGCATATAGCAAAATTTATACTGTTACTTTGTAATGAACGATGTTTTTTCTGTATTGAGATATTTTATTATATTTAAATTCAATATCTTAAGGTTGTTAAGGTTTAGTTTTGCGTAGAAAAACCTTAAGAATATTTTGTTTGGAATATTTTATTGCATTTATTTGCGTTTGTTATTTGGATATAATAATTGATATTATTCACGCTTCCACTTAAATTTAAATTAATTTTAATTGTAATAATTGTAATTCGAAATAATGTCGGCACTTTCTAATAAAGCCAAAATTAGGGCTGAGTTGCGATGGCTAGTTACAGCCGCAGCCTTGTTGGATAGACCAGATAGACAGGAAGCCTTATTGAATA